GATTGGATGAGGGAAAACTGACTCAAGCTGAATCCAGGTAAGACGGAGCTACTTGTCGGAAACCCGAACCCAGGAATGGAGTTATGTCAGCCAGTTCTGGATGGGGTCACGTTTCCTTTGAAGGACTTTGTCCGCAGCTGAGCTCCTTGACTCGTCGCTTCACTTGACAGCTCAGGTCGATGTGACAGTCAGGAGCTCCTGTTATCAGCTTCGGCTGATACACCAGTTGCTCCCCTTCCTGGAGCAGGGAGACCTTGAAACAGTAGTACATGCACTGGTAACCTCTTGATTAAACTTCTGTTATGCACTCTACATGGGGCTACCCTTCTGCCAAGTTTGGAAACTTCAGCTTGTACAAAATATGGCAGCTAGGTTGATTAAAGTTACTTCTCATAATGACCATGTAACACCAGTTCTGAAGTCTCTTCACTGGCTGCCAATTAGTTTCTGGGCAAGGTACAAGGTGCTGGTTATTATCTTTAAAACCCCACATGGCTTGGGACCAGAATACTTAAATCAGGGGTGGGCAACCTTTTTGAGCCAGGGGCCGGGTTGCTGTCCCTCAGACAATTGGGGGGCCGAAGCACCCCTGTGGAGATTTTGACAAGAAAACTCCAAGAATAACAACGATAATATCATCATGACAGGCAGCGGCGGCGGTGGGGGGCGGCAGCAGGACCGGCCTGGGGCCGGTCCAAAGGCCTCGGGGGGCCGCATCCGGGCCTTGGGTTGCCTATCCCTGACTTAAATGATCGCCTTCTTCCGTATTGTCCGTCCCGCACACTAAGGTCCTCAGGGAAGAATCTACTACTACGAAAAAAAATCTAGGCTAATTTCAGTTAGCCAGAGGGCCTTCTCCACTTCTGCTCCAAAGCTGTGGAACGACCTGCCGTAGGAGATCCGTCACATCTCTAATCTTACAGCCTTTAAAAAGGCTCTTAAGATGGATCACTTCCGGCAGGCCTTCCCAACTTAACTCCTCTCCCCACGCAAGGTAATCTACGTTATTCTGTCCACCAGTTATCTCTCTTTTTAAACTTCTGTATTTTTGCCTTTAAATTATGTTTGTTTAATTGTAATTTTAGCATTGGTGGGGTGGGGGGTGGGAGGGGACTAATTTTTGAATTTTATTGTA